TTTTTTAAATATAGTTTCGAACAGACTGTAAAAGGTAAGAGGTGGGATCCAAAATTGGCTCCACCACTTATTAGCTGCGGCCCTAGAGCAAGTTAAACTCTAAGTTTCATTCTTCTCATCTATAAGTGAGGATAATGATAGTACCCACCATTTCACAGATTTGTTGTAAAGATTCAATGAGCATGTAAATTACTTTGGCATAGTGGCAAATGCTGGGCACACACAAAAAAGTTAATGCTTATTAGTGCTGTTAAAACACTAAAAAACACACTGCTATTACTAATCCTTAAACAACATTATAAGAGACAAGACTGCCTCTTTATCTGTCTTCCAACCCATTCATTCTACATAGAACAGTCAGATCAACCTTCCTGAAAAATCACTTTTATTATGTCAAGGTTCTATGTGAATATTCAGGAACTCTCCATTGCTAATACATAAATCTTAACTACAGCTTAAGAATAACAATAATAAGTGAGAGTGAAGGCTCCCCACACCAATGTCTCTCAAAACACCTTTTCATGTACACCTTCTAACCTAGCCAAGGCTCCATTTCCTTTTACCAGTGATGTTCAACCAAAACATTATTCCTGCCAATCACAATTCCTGAAATATATTCATGGCTGTCAAATCCCCACTACCTTTCTTCTAGATTCATTCCTTAAAAATACTACGAAACCTCCTCTGACCACTTTCTGCACCGGTTCATAGTCTCCTTACAGGTGGTGAGTTCTAACTACTATAGAGTTCCAAGAGAACTCATTATGTGTGAAGAAAACACTTCTCGTTTTCTTCCCTGGACTACTATTTAATTCTCTGTGTTCTGCCTATTTAACAAGAAAAATTCAAAATGGCTAACCCCTGGCTTAACAATAGTTTAGGTTAGAGCTATCCTCACAATAAAATCATCCAATGTAACATATAACCCCAATTTTACATGTAACAAATTCTTAACTACAAATCCAAACAAAAGAGGAAAATAAGGGATGTAAGAAAACACTGACTTTTAAAAAAATCACCTCATCTTATCTGAGTATACGGACTTGATTTGGGAGCTTGTTTAAGTTTAAAGCCTGAAAAACAAACAACCATTTACATCTAATAATAATGTAAGTGTTAAATTTACCTCTAAATGGACAGAACATAAACATTCTAGTCACCTACTTGCAGATATCCCTGTATGTCTGGATTGCTGTATCCATATAATGCGCAGGGTATGGCCTAGGCGCTCCTGGCTGAAGGAAAGCTGACACTGCTGCCATTTCCTAAAGAAAAAGATATTTATACTATTTCAAAAAGAGGAATATTCTTATAGTTTAGCATTTGGAAAGCTAAAAATTGGACTGAAGTTTGCTGGGGCTTTTTATGTATGATATAGAAATTTCATGGATTAATGCAGGCTTGAAAAATATATGCTTTTCGTTTTTCAATTCTACAGTCAAATACCAAAGTCTGTCATTCAGAATTTAAATGAGATTTTCAAGAAGACCTCAGAAGCATTTTGAATTATGGTGTATATATACAACTACCAAGCACACCTAGCTTAAGATTCTGCTACCACTTCCTCTCTGTTCTTCCCTATTCCTCAATGAGGAAACAGACCAATGATAAGACCATATAGAGCAAGACAAAATAAAACACATCTCTTTCTAATTACTGGCATCAGAACAGGCAAAGAGAGCTCTCAACAACTTGAACTATATATATTTTCAGCTATTTACACACTCTAATGTATATCCTATACCATATAAAAGGCACAAAGACCTTATTTCTTAGACTTAAATTACTGTCAGTTTTCTAGATCTTTGTATTTCATTTTTAAAAGCCAATCTATTGTCAATGTGTATGCTTTCAGTTAATAATGCAAAAAATATACAATAGTCCTAATGAATTTAGAAATGATGATCCAAATATGGGTTTTGGCTTTCTTAGTAAAATATCCCATGTCCTTTTATAGACCAAGTTTTAATAAAAACTAGAAATAAATGAAACCTTCATAAATTGGGAAGGAAAACTGTTAATGCCAACACTTTTAGGATGAACATATGTATTTATCTGCAACTTTTAAAATAGAAAAAAATACAAATAATTACCTAAAAACCAGAGAATAACTAAAACCTTAAACGTGACAGACTATAGGTTTCATGACAATATAAAATGTATCTGTTACAGAATGTCTTTCCATCCTCAGTACCCAGCAGTGTTTGCTCCAAAATTTACTGAAAAAACTGAATGAAAATACATTATATCCAGGGGCACCTGGGTGGCTCAGTCAATTAGGTTAAGTGTCTGACTCTTGATTTTAGCTCAGGTCATGATCTCGGTTTATGAGTTTGAGCCCCACGTAGGGCTTTGCACTGACAGTGCAGAGCCTGCTTGGGATTCTCCCTCTTCTTTCTCTGCCCCTCCCCTGTTCTCTCTCTTTCTCTGTCTCTCTCTGTCTCTCTCTCTCTCTCCCTCCCTCTCTCTCTCTAAATATAAATAAACTTAAAGAAAAAGCATTATACCCATGTGACAAAGTACACTACAGCTCTGAAACATGGTTTCTTAACTACTTTATTTTTTTTTTTATTTTTTTTTTTCAACGTTTATTTATTTTTGGGACAGAGAGAGACAGAGCATGAACGGGCGAGGGGCAGAGAGAGAGGGAGACACAGAATCGGAAACAGGCTCCAGGCTCTGAGCCATCAGCCCAGAGCCCGACGCGGGGCTCGAACTCACGGACCGCGAGATCGTGACCTGGCTGAAGTTGGACGCTTAACCGACTGCGCCACCCAGGCGCCCACTACTTTATATTTTAACTAATGTAACGAATACACATATGCTTCTATATTATACAAAAAAGCAAATATGCATTGAACATACCGTATACTATATTGTACAAAATACCCATTTACTACATACAAACAATATATATTACATATATTAAAGGGTACTAAGAAAAAATCCTGTGAGAAAAATATGCCCCCAAATTCTAAGTTATTTTCTAATTCTGCAAGTATTAAATCAATATACATTCAAACAAAACCGACATAATTTTTACAGATCTGGTGAGAACATTCAGAATGATCACCCCCAGCTATTATTATCAAACCATTAAATCATTTCTTATAGTCATCAGTAACAGATCAATACTTTTTACAAAAATTTTCATCAAGAACCACAGTGATCTACTTACCCTTCAGTTAGTTAAGGTAGTTATATAACTGAACTACAAAAAAACAGTATTAAGAATTCCTATTACTGGTTTTGCTATGATACTTAATTTTAAAGATAGCATAACTAAATACCTTCTACAATTTTCAGCTAAAAAGGCAAGCAATATAGTCTGTCCTACTACAACATTTATTTTGACCTTATCAATTAGCTAAATATGTGAATGGTAAATAGGAAAGTGGTATCAACACAAATAAAATTTGTATTCATTTATAAACAATTTTTCTTGGGCAAGGGGATCAAAAATAGCAAATATAAAATTATAACCTTCAGCAGGAAAGGAGCAAGCCCTAAGCTCAGCTGTTGCACAAGCAGGAGCTCCCTTTATCTGTATTTTACAGAAAACGAATGCCTGAGTTTTGGTGCTCACTGACTCTCTCTCTAGAGAAGTACATGCCCAGTGTAAATGCACAGTTCTTGGCTTAAGACAGCTTCACTTTGCTCCACGCTCCCCATCATGGCACCATAACGGATTAGGAGCTCTTCTTCTCCGCCTCTACTCCCAGCCAGTACTGATATACTGGTTCTGTGTGTGTGTGTGTGTTTTAATGCCTTTAAGTAACTTCTAGGCATGATGGAGCAGCCTCACTAGATTACATATATCATCTCTCAAGGTACAAATTTTGTGTTCTTGTTTGTACTTTGTTTTAAAAGATACATACATA